TTCCGAGGCTGTAAATCTTTACGGGAGCAGAACGCCTCATCTTTCTCCCGTGGATCAGCTGGTAGTTTCGAATTACTGACCTTGCGGTTCGCAGCCTGATTCGTAACCACTACACTACCAGAGCTCCTACAAAAACACATACACACAAAAAAAATGTGGGTGAACTACCGTGCTGTTAGGAAATACATTACCAGGTAAGGTGCTTTCATCGCCGTTATTGTCCTTGTTAACTTCTAGCTGATGCATTAATTCTGCTTTTTCTTTTTCCAGCTTATTATTAGCTAATCTATAACACAATTAAAATACATAAACTTAAAAAAGACCTAATTTCACAATATTCGTACACATTTCTATACTGGTTTGGCACTGCAGGATAAGCACTAGACTGCTCCCTGAAAGGTTGGTAGTTCAAACGAACCAGCTGCTCCTCAGAAACTCTTGATAGCACTTAATAACTAACTACATAAGTGATTACAGTACTTAGAACTTGTCAATATTCCTAAAGACAGACATTTATCCATTTTTACTTTTAATTCTTCAATGAAACCATGCTCACAGGGTATGGAATCAAAAGTCTTCATTTATTAATATCTGATATACTTTTCAAGAGTTTTTTTTGTTTTTCTAGGAAAAGCCTAACAAGTACAGGTTATGTAGACCCCTGGAATTAGAACTTTCCCCCCTCTTTTTCATAGTGTTTGTTTGGAAAGTTAATGTTTACTACATTTTGTAAGAAGCCCTGATAGTATGATAGGTTACACAGTGGGCTGCTAATCACAGGGTCAGCATTTCAAATCCACCAGCGGCTCCGAGGGAGAAAGAGGAGGCTTTCTGCTCCTATAAACATTGACAGCCTCCATAATCCTATGAGTTGGAATTGACTAGATGGCAGTTGGTGGGTGTTATTAATGAAGTTTAAAATACAAAGTGAAAAATATAAGGAATGGGGTTAGCCATTTTTCATGATCCATTATGCAAAAGATACAGTGATTAGCATTAAACCCTTTGACGTGAACCTATTGGGGAGCAAGGTTTCTCGCTGCAGCAAATTTGGTTACATTAAAAAAAAGGAAAGAAAAATAGGAGGATGAAGAAAAAGAAAAAAGTAGTCATATGAGCATATAATGTACCTCAGGACTTGGAGCTCACGCTTATGGTCTTGTTCTGTCTTAGCGCCTTCCGGAACATGTTTGAGAATCTCAATCTTCAGTTAAGAATGAAAAATTAGAAGATGAAGTTTGACATGGTATTGTGAGATTTTATAAAGACATTTTCAATAAAGCATAAATTTGGAATTTCAAAAGCACACATGGCATACCATATAATCCAGTGACAGAGCTGGATTATCTATTATCCAATTATCTAATTATTAACTATTATTTAATTGAATAGAAAATATGAGTCCACACAAAAGCGTCCAGATGAATGGTTATAACTGTTGTGTTAATATTTGTTGAAAATTGGAGACAACCAAGAAATGAACAGATGAATGGATAAACAATTATGATACAGTTATCACAGAAACAACTATGAGTAGTTATATGTTGTTGTTGTTAGGTACCATCAAGTCAGTACCAACTCATAGTGACCTTATGCAGAGCAGAACGAAACAGTGCCCGCCCGGTCCTGGGCCAACTTCACTACTGTCAGCACACTTGAGTCCATCGATGCTGCCACTTGGCCAATCCATCTGGTTGGGGGTCTTCCTCTTTTTCTCTGACTCTCCACCTTACCAAACATGATATCCTTCTCCAGTGACTGGTACCTACTGACTATATGTCTGAAGTATGAAAGACGAAGTTTGGCCATCTTGGCCT